GATGTGAAATCCTCACTTCTGTATTGTTTGTCATTATAGTTCCCACTTTGCTATTGTTTGTCTGTATAATCTCTGTCTGGTTCTGTGATTGTTTCTATCTGCTGTATAATTAATTTTGCTGGGTGTAAACTAATTAAGGTGGTGGGATATAATTGGTTACATAATCACGTTACACTATGTTAGGATTGGTTAGTTAAATTTCAGTAAAATGATTGGTTAAGGTATAGGTAAGCAGAACTCAAGTTTTACTATGTAGTCTGCAGTCAGTCAGGAAGTGAGTGGGTGTGGGGGAGGGAAAAATGGGAATCATGTTTTGCTAAGGGGAGGAAATGGGAACAGGGAATGGGGGTGGGGAAATTGGAATCATGTTTAGCTAAAGGGGGAAATGGGAACAGGGACACAGGTAAGCCTCTGTGGTATCAAAGCTGGGAAGGGGGACACAAAGGAAGGAAACTGGAATCATGCTTGCTGGAAGTTCACCCCAATAAACATTGAATTGTTTGCACCTTTGGACTTCGGGTATTGTTGCTCTCTGTTCATGCGAGAAGGACCAGGGAAGTAAGTGGGTGAAGGAATAAGCCCCCTAACATCTTCTGTTGATTTACACTATTTTACACACCCCTCCATTGATTCCCAGTGAGCTCCTTGTTTTGTTTGCATTTCTTTTACCCCATCTCCAATATACACTGCACACGTCCTGGGAAAATGCACATTCCTTCCATATAGTTTAATCTCCATAACATATTAGCCATATTAATTTTACATAAGGTGTAACTGCCTCCCCCATGCCCACAGTTTTCATGCACACCCACCAAAGCGGCAGTCCAATCCCCCAGAGCCACCCAAAGGCTTAGTGTTCCCATCATTCCTCCCCTTTTCCTTTTCTTTTACCTGTGCACACAAAAAATTCTCTTTTGCCTAACGTTTCTTGCACTGTGATTACTCTTTTACACAACTGTACCTGATTATACTCCCATCTTGTACAACTAAACACAGCCGGGGCAGCCAAGTTACGTTCCAATAGAAACCCCTTACAGTCCTTTAGTGATTTTGATTACATTACCCAATAGTCAAATAATTTTGATCAGATTCTCTCTCCGCCTGCTGCCTGGAGCAGTCCCTTACAGACCATTTCTGTGGGAAAAGGGCCCATTTTCCCTTAGAATAGCTGTGAAGGCTTCTGGGGACAGAAGCATAGTGGTGGTAGTAGTCACTCTACCTGACCCCCTGGGATAATTTAATTACCAAGCTTCCATCCAATGTGACTGCACAGAGTTGCACATACAGTTACATTTATATAACTGGGTTTTATCATTAAACAAAAACTTCCTTCTTGTAACACCACAACTGTTACTCTTTTACTATTTCCACAACTCCCAAACGTTTACTTTCCTGCAAACCCTGTATCATCAATTTTTGCAAAAGCTATTTGTAACTTTTCACTCACTTCTTTAAATCACTTACTCCTACATTTAGTTCTTTAAGGTAGTGCAATTTGTCTGTAACAACTTAGCCACCACGTACAATTATTGCCATACAGCTGCCTTAACCTGTGCTGTCTTTGCCTTGAGACTGTTCAAATCCAATTTCCCCACCCCATTCCCTGTTCCCATTCCCCCCCCACACTCACTTCCTGTAGCTCACAAAAGCTTATACTCAAATAAATTGGTTAGTCTCTAAGGTGCCACAAATACTCCTTTTCCTTTTTGCGAATACAGACTAACATGGCTGTTACTCTGAAACCTGCAGACTACCATAGTAAAACTTGAGTTCTGCTTAGCTATACCTTAACCAATCATTTTACTGAAATTTAACTAACCAATCCTAACATATTGTAACATGATTATGTAACCAATTATATCCCACCACCTTAATTAGTTTACACCCAGCGAAATTAATTATACAGCAGACAGAAACAATCGCAGAACCAGACAGAGATTATACAGACAAACAATAGCAAAGTGGGAACTATAATGACAAACAATACAGAAGTGAGGATTTCACATCCCAGCTATCCCAGACTGTCTCAGTAAGAGAAGGACCTTACACTGGCAGACAGTGATTTTGATTCTTTCTTTTGTACCTCTATAACTAGCCAAGTGATAAGAATACACCTAAATTCTTAGAGTATAGGCCTTTACAGACAGGCCTGAACATCTTTATCCTAACAATTCCACTTTCCAAATCCCAGCCTCCCACAGAGAAGTTGGAGAAACGTGGTTTCATCTGGGATATGGCCATCCCCTTGTCCCATTTCAATGGGAGCTATCAAAGTTTAATACCCTCGGGTGGAAGATGGTGTATTCCACATACACTGAGGCATTCAATGATACAGCAATTTCATTAATCAGGCAAAATTCATATGCTGTACATAGCGAGATACATCAAATTGTCACAGGCCAATAGTACACACTACACAAGAGGAGAGACAAGGTGGAGCCCCACATGAGGATGCACATCAGTTGCCAAAATCACCCCCTTTGGAACTTTCTGCAAGAAGGGAATGGAATCACCAGAGAACAGGTCCATTCACTCATGGTAGGGTTCTTGGTGAGTCAACAATACCTCATGATCAGTACCAAGTACAAGGGATGGATTAAGTGCAGTCTCTGGGAGAGATGAATTACCTGTTTCCCACAGTACAGCTTCCACTTAGCACTAAAACGATTTTGTAATCAGATATTCAAGAAGTTAAAAAAATGCAGTTAATGTGAAGAAATATGTGAAAATCCAGCTGGAGCATGGATTCTCCTTAAAAGAGATTCTTCTCCCCATAGCACTTCTCCACCCTTTAGATGGTTGTGAACAAAAGATCATTATGAAGTCTGCAGACCCTTCAATAGCGTAATTTGTTGAAAGGACAGCATGCTTCTTCAGAAGCCTCTGGAAGCCAATCAGGTGCCATTAGCCTGCAAGGGAAGATCAACAAAGCATGTCCCTTACCACAACAGGAAATGTGTGTCCCTCCCACAAACTACAGGCTGTAATGATCAATCCATGACAGCTCCAATCACAGGCCACATATCAGATCATTAGTATACCCAGTTTTATAAATTGAGCCGACCACCATCTACAATAGTGCTGTGGGTGTCATGAAGGCCATGGTGCTGATGGAACTAGGTGGGGGGGGAGAGGGGCTGCCGCACCCCATGCTTGAATAACAAACACCAGATATATGGTTTCTATCATCAGCACCCTCACTATAAAAATTGTTCCAGCACCCATTAAAATCACCAGCTGACTCAGACAATCCACCATCCACATCAGTTATGAAGTCACTGAGCTACAGCACATCAAACAAAAACTACTCCTACTTTTAGGCAGAGATGGGTCTGTACCCCTAAATTGAAAGCATGTGCCAATTGGCCTAGGCCATAGTGTTTGGATCCAGGATTTTGGTTCAGCCCATTACAGGAATAGGGGGCATTTGCTTGATTTGGATTGTGATCTAAACTTCTCCAAAGTCTAGGAATGCTCAGGTGCAGGGTGCTTGATTTGGGACTGATGAAAAAAGAGTTTTATTTTTTAAGATGGAGCAAGAAACCAAAAAACCCTAGTTTAGCTGACATTTTTAGAGGAGCTCGCTGCAGTACCTGGCTTTGGCAAAGGTTTCTTCCTCCCACTCTTGTGTGGGTTTGCAGCTGTTTAGTATAATGCCGACCTTGTCCTTGGACTCCCACTCCACTGTGACAGGCGCCCTTGGAGGGACGTTTTGCCCAGCGTTTGAGCTGCTCAGAACTCCTCCGTGCTCTCACTGTCTATTTGAGGAACAAGCTGTCCCGACTGATCACTTGCTTCAAGTATGCATATTCATGTGCCCTGGTGCTCAGGATCCTTGACCTCTCTGCCTTGGGTATCAAACACCCGAATCAGCAGAGGGTGGGCGTTATCTTTTACCTTGGTAACCCCCCTGGGAAACTCCGAGGCGACTTGTTGCCCTGTGACAATGATTTCTGCACTTCACATTCGGGAGAGGAAACAAACAAACATCGAGGCGCAGGCAGCCTGGGATCCCGGATCCCGCAAGCACCTTTGTGCTGTGGTGAAAGGGGGGCGGATTGTAGCCGTCGCATTGCTCTTCATCAACATTCAAGAAATGTCTGGAAGGAAAAGAACAGACTGAGCCCGCCCCCCGCCCTTCAGCCTTCTCATGCCAAACCCGCTGGGAGCGGTGGGGGGTGGCGGTGTGACATCTGGGCAGTCAGTACGCGCCCGCCCTGTGTCCAGCTGTGCCGCAGCAGCACGCCTGTTGCAGTGTTGTGTCTCCCCAAGGTGCGCACACAGGGTTCCTTCCCAGGTGTGCCTGCCACCCCTCGGGAGCCGCATGAGCTATTCCTGGTGATAAAACACAACACAGGAACAAAACCCAGGCAGGGTGCAGGCTACCCCCGCGTGCGGAGGGCTGCGAGGAAGAGAGGTAGTAGCGATCAGGTGTGCCACGCGTTTGCGGATGCCTACCGCGGCGGGGCGGGTACTGGCCACTTGTGTGGTGGCTGTAGGTGTGGGGAGCCGAGTGGTCGCTCACGTTTGTGGAGCCGCTGTTGCCCATGTCAGTTACAACAGAGGCTTTTGCTCCCGCCACAAACATAATCGGAGCACAGCTCACGGGCTTGCTGCTTCTCTCACTCCACCCCACCCCTCCGCCCCCATCAGAGAAACCGTGACCCGCTCTGTCCCAGAACACTTTCCACGGCCGGCCATGTCCCGAACAATTCCCTGGGGTCTGAGCTCCATCCAGATCGACAGCCTCCGGTTGCAATGTGCAATCGGGGACTGTCCACACTAGATGCCAAAGCAGCGCCTGGTTCTGTCTGAGCCCACGACGCTGGTGCTTTTCTGATCTGCTCTGAGAAGCCTGGCTGAAGAGACCGGGAACTTCGAGCGGTTTGGCTCTGTTGACGGTTTTACACAAATTGTTTTCAAGGCGAAAGGTGTCTGGAGATCAAGCGAGCTCCGCGCATGCGTTGGTCTGTTGGGAATTATTGCTCTGCCTTGGACTAAGTTGCATTCCTTGGATCTTCGCAGAAAAGCCAATTCTTCAGACAGAGTTAGGAATGTGGACAGTTCACAGTCGAGGGTATTTTGGGATTCTCTCGTTCCCCGTGATGATAGCCATGGTCTGCTGTGCGCAAAGGTGAGCGTTATTCTCCGGGGTGCTCTCTCCGGGTTTTGTCGGTGCGTGTGCGGACTGTTGATCTCATTGTTTTGGGAGGTGTACGTGCATTTCTTTTTCTGTCTGCCGGCAGTTTCTAGCCTTGATTCTCAATCCAATCCGTCCTTCTTCCCTTCAGCGTTAATGAGCCTAGCAACATGTCATATGTGAAAGAGACAGTGGACAGATTGCTCCATGGATACGACATTCGCTTGAGGCCAGACTTTGGAGGTAATTTGTCAGTCTTTTTCAACGTGTAGCACAACCGTGTTGCATTTCCTGTATCAGAGGGAAACGTCAGTTCAAATGCAAATTAGTCCTTGCAAATGGTTGTGGGCCAATTTATGACCAAGTACACACACAAACACACATACTCACATGCGTGCACACACACCCTGATGCACCCCATTTACACATGCAAACACACACCCATGTATATATGCCGCTACACAGCCAGGCACAGGGATGGTGTTTTTACATGCCTGTGATGTGCATAACAAACCCCCCTGTTTCTCATTAAAGGTGCTCCTGTTGACGTCGGGATGAGGATAGACATTGCCAATATAGACATGGTCTCAGAGGTCAACATGGTGAGTACACGCCCTGAATTAAACAAGAGCTCTGAAATTGGCACATTTTGTGCCTGCCCCTTAGAGTTTAGTTGCGGGGGAGAGGGTGTCTCAGACTCGTATCTGTGCAGCTTTCTCTTTCATGCCAGAGCAAGGGACGGGGAGCGGAGAGTTACATACGTTGAGTGCTCTTTGGAGACGAGCTGTTGATAGCTGCCCTGGGGAAACCTGTTTGGGACGAGTTTACACAGTACCTTCTTCTCCTTTCACGTCCTTTTAAAATAGGGCACGGCGCCATCTGCCGATCATTGCGCCTTACTGCCTTTCAGCACCGAGGACAGCTCCACGCTTCCTCGCTCTCTCAGCCCTCAGAGCCCTGGCCCGCTGGAGCCGGGAATAAATAAATAAATAAATAAATAAAATAAAAATAAAACGCGTATTTGACACCATGACAATGCTGCATTTGTGGAGTCTGGGGGGCGGGGTAAGGACAACCATGCTTCCCTCGGAAGAAATAGCTACAGCTAAGGCAAGCTGACTGTTGACTGGTCAGGAGACAGAGATCCTTTGCCTTGGCAAAGGTTGCTAACAGCCTTCAAGAAAAGAAAAAGGGCGGGCGGATGGTGGATTTTGCGTGTGTCTCTGTATGCAACTTATAGAGCTACATATTCAGACAGCAGGAGCAGAAATCTGCTCTGCTTGAACCGCCCATTTGCTGCTGGAACCCAGAGGCACCTGTGGGGAGGGGCGAGATCGTTGTGTTAGGAAGCTAGAGGGCAAAGTATAGTCTGTTTATATTTTAATCTCCTCTTGTGATTTGGTGCGGAGGAAATAGTCAAAGCAACAGTAGCTGCTGCTAGGCTGTCTGCTGAGCACCATGTTCTGCATAAGCAGCAATGCTGCTGAGACTCTGGGCTGGCAGAATTGGTACTGCTTGAGACAGAGCAGAAGCCTGTTGATTTCCCTCTAGCATATCAGAGATCTCTTGCCTGGGATCGGTGAATTGTAATTGCTGAATGGCTGACAAATCTTAGCTGTAATGTGATTAGTCCACACGCAAATATGTCCGTGAGGATTTTAACAGCAAGGCGGGGTGAAAGGGGGGGTTGAAAGGCTTCCATCACGTTTTAGCTCGGTGTCCAATCTCTCATAAAGTGCCTGCTAAAAGCAAACAGTTTGATATTGCAGATTGAATCACATACTTTGGAGTAGCAGGATTAAGAGCAAATGTCTGTGTAAAGCAATTCAGGGCTGCTAAAAAGAAAAGTCATTTGGAATATTTCTATAATTTGAATATACTTAAATCAGAATTTTGAAATTGCTCACTGCATTTAAATATATGTAATATATAAGGTTTTTGTTTTACTCTTTGTTTTCACCCCAAGTCAGCTATATATATTTGAAATACTAGAAATATTCAGACATATTAAAGATTCCTGGTACATATTTTTGACAGATGGACAGACTGAATTTCTCTGTCAATTGATTTAGATGGTAGAGATAAAGGCTGTTATGAAGAACGAACATCACCTTCACAAACTAAAAACTTCTCAACATAAAAGCAAAGAAAAAGAAAACTAATGCTGGAAAGTGCTTTTTTCATTGGGAAAAAGAAAAAAGTGTATACATGAAGGAAGCTCCACAGCTAATTAGCAAAATTAGAAAAATGAAAACTGGTTGACAGTCAAATAAAATGCAACTTCAGACAAAGATGTGTGCTACATTGTACTTGATTGCGTTAATTTCATTGCTGAGATGATTGAATTATAATAGTTATGAATGCACAAGTAAAGCACAGAATATCTAGTGCTAGGCTGGTTTCACATTCTCTTCCAATACTACAGAAAATGAAAATCAGTTGGAACTTTTAATCCCATCAAAATCATTTCTGATTAATATACTTAAAGGGCATTTTGGTGGGGGGGGGGGGGACAGTCTCAAATGAAAATCTAAGGTACTTTTTTCCCATCTGAAGAGGAACATCTATGCAACTAAGAGGAACTGGATAGCTGTGCTTTGTTTTGATACCAGCTGTCAGTTTATTGAAATTTCACAAAGCACTAAGACATTTATCAGTCTCAAATTAATTTCCCTTTTCCTAATATTCCTGCAGTCTAATATTTATCACTGGAATGCTTAAAAAGATAGTATTTATTTCTCTTCAGATTTATTTTTACTACTCTTAACTGTATATCTTAATTTTCTGTTGTTGAATAAATATAGTTATATTTATTTTAGTGTCACAGTTACGTTGTAAGTTCTTTGGGGGAGGGACTGTTTTCACCATATGTGCTGTGCACAGCACAATGGAGCCACGAATGGGACATAAAAGTCATATCTTAATTCAGATGTTAAGTAATAATAAACAGTAGGTCGGAGAAGGGAAAACACAATGGACAGGCTTTGCAAATTCTAACTTGCAGAGTTCCTGCTGAACTTTCCTTTCAAAGAGAACATGTTAGTGACTGTGCAGATGGGGTGGACGAAAGAGCACATAAACCTTGCATATGTCAAGGATAAGCAAGGAGCACAAACCCTATCCTCACCCTCAAACCATTACCTGGGAGCAAGGTCAGACTCCCCACACTAATCACTGAGCAAATCATCCCTTCTAACATAATGGCTACCTTAGATGATGTGTCCACCCAGGCCATGACTTTATGTTGACCTCCTTTTCAGAGGTGCAGGAGCAAAGTGAAATTAATGCCAACACTAATGGTACTAAAGTCCTTATCCTGAGAGGTGCAGAGCATGCTGGATCCTCAAATGGGAGTTTTGAGTTAGGGAGCCAGGCCACAGGAGGCACTCTGTGCTGTGCAGGGTCAATTATGTTGTATTTTCCAGCAGTATTTCCACTTGGGGCTGCATAGAGCACGATCCATAATGTGTCTGCCCTCCGCCAGCTCCTCTCCCTTCCCACACAAGCAAAACAGAGTTTGCAGATAAAAACAAAAATTGCGGGAGTTGCACTGACACAACCCTTCTGATAATGGGCTCTTTAATCTAGCAGAGAAAGGTATAATATGATCCAATGACTGAAAGTTGAAGCTAGACAAATTCAGACTGGAAATAAGGTGTAATTTCTTAACAGTGAGGGTAATTAACCACTGAAACAATTTACCAAGGGTCCTGGTGGATTCTCCATCGCTGACAATTTTTAAATAAAGACTGGATGTTTTTCTAAAAGATATGGGGAAGTTCTATGGCCTGTGTTATACAGGATATCAGACTAGATGATCACAATGGTCCCTTCTGGCCTTGGAATCTCTGGATCATAGATTCATAATCTATGAAAAAACTGATAGGACTGGAGACTCTTCACTCAAATGTTGGCTTTCCTACTTTTCTATCTCCATCTTGCTTTACTGTACTTTGCAATCTGACTTACTATAGTGAAATAAACTTAAATTAACTTATGGATGGTCCAATGGTTACAGCCCTAGCCTGGGACTCAGCACTTCTGCAAATCAAGCCACTTAGGTGCCTTGCTTTAGATACCAAGTTTTTACAACCTGATGCAAACCTTCACATCCTCTTTCTATTTATGCTTAGGAAATATTAACTGAGATTCTGACAAATGCTTCAAACCAGATAGCTATCCTTTTGTTTTCATTACATTTTCAAGACCAACAAGGTGGCCCTCTTCACATTTTCAAAATGCTTGAGCCTCATTAGCTAACTTCGGACCCCATGCCCTCTTTCCATTCCCTCTGCTGCTGCTTCCCCATGCTAAATTACTTATTTATAAACACCTACTTTCAAAGCTATTTAAAAACATTTCTAGCATAATAAGAACCAGCAGGGTTTTTTTGTTGGTGGTTTATCTATTCTCAAAGTGGCAGCAATGAAGTTTCCCTCTTAGGAATTATTAAGCCTCGGGTAGCTTTTTCACTGGGGAATTTAATTATGGCCTAAGAGTAGTATTACTGCTTGAATCTAAACCTATGCTACAGCCCTGATCCAAAGGCCACTGAAGTGGAGGAAAGCCTACGGAATATATATCACTATATGACTTTGTAAGACCCATTTCCAATCTAAACTGTGCCAAATGGTGATATTTAGCTGCCACCCTCAGTAACAGACTGTTTGTAGCCACACTGCCCCAGGAGGTGTTCAAGGAGGGGTTATGCCTCTCGTATCACTGTGGAGACGACACTGTGCTTTAGATTGGTGCACTCTCCTCTGCTTCTGCTGCAGGGCCCTGGACCCACCTCCTTCCTGCCTCACTTCCTTTCTAGCACTGGGAACCTTGGGGATGCACTGAGAGAGCAGTCCCTGTGCTCTTTCCAGTGCAAGTCTGCAGCTCGGTCTGGCCCTGTATATTTTTTTTCAAGCTCCATAGATGTTATTGGCATGACAGGTTATACAAGTGGTGCCAAATAAATTAAAACCACGCCTCCTCCCCCTCTGTGTGCCCAAGTACAGGCCTGTCACAATCTGGACCACAAGCAGAACAGTCACAAATATTTTGAAAATGTCCTTAAATATCGGAAGTAAAATGTAAATAGTTTCACCCTGGTTTTTAAAGGCACTGAGATCCAGATCTTCAAAAGTATTTAGGCACTTAACTCCCATCGATCTCAATGGCACTTAAATAGGAATGGAGTTCCTTTGATAATCTGATCCTTTGTGGAGCAGTGTTTGGGCATCTGGCACTGCTCTGAATTTGGCTTTGATGGATTTACCATCACTGTGGGGCTAACAGCCTGGTTACTGTATCTGCCTGAATCCTGTTTCCAGACTTGCTGCAACTTTAGCTTAGACTCTAGAAAAAGGACTACTGTGAACTCTGTGCATACCATCAGGAATAATAGACTGTTTGTGCAGCTTGCCCAATGATGGAGCCTTTTGAAAATATACCCTTCTATTGTGAAGCATCTCACCCATTTGGGTATTGAAACTTACCCGGCCTTGGAATCAACCCTGCTAGTATTTTCCCAAAATTACTTATTTTATGTCTACTCAGCTTCTTTGGATTGCATTGTTCTATAGTTATTGTCTTTAGTAGTTTAATAATACTA